CCTATAGATTAAACCCTCACCCTATAGATTAAACCCTCACCCTGTAGATTAAACCCTAATCCTATAGATTAAACCCTAACCCTGTAGATTAAACCCTAACCCTATAGATTAAATCCTAACCCTAGTAATGCGCGTGAGGCACCTCTGGGGAGTTCTGCTGCTGAATATCTTCATATCCAGCTGTGTCAATGCAAAGGTCTTATGAAAGATGAGAAGACGTTACCTGAACAAGGCCGGCGGTCTGGACCAACAGGCCAACCACGAGGCCTTTTATTAGTCTTATATATTGTTTTGATTCAGCTCAATTCAAATATATTCCAACCTCACAATGCACACAGCTCAGTGGGGGACCGAGGCTGACAGAGAACCACAGAGTACAGGTATGTTGTATACATGAATATACAATATCTGGAAAAAAATAATTAAGTACACAAATGCAAGCACTCCAAATTATTCAGACATTGGCATGCAAGCACAAAAGCCAAAGTTCCCACTCCAGACAGAAATCTGCCACTGCTGCTGATCACAGCTCAAACTATCACATCTGCAGATCCACATAATTGTACATTAAAAACATTATTTTTCCTTACTTCTTAAAATCATAAAATGAATCTTATTTGCACATTGCATTATATCAATCCATATCATAATATATTCAAACTAAGTCAATAAAAAGGCCAGCACTCACCAAATCATCTGGAAACATGAGGTGCTTACAACATCCAGTCATACCCACTAAAACGCTGCCGTGGACCGTTCAGCACGGCCAAAACCTCCACATGCTCTGCTCACATGGTATAACTGAATAACCGTCCTGGATATTGGAGAGGAGGGGTCCGGGCTCTACGGAGGGTCTGGATGGACCAGCATGGACTGACATTTCTGGGCACATTCACTTTCAGATGGCCACTACTGGCCAGTGTCTCTGATGGCCTTGAGTCTTGATTTTGCACAAAGCCTTCTGCACCTGTACTGTACGTATGATTGTGTCTCATATGGGTATGAGTAGTCATCTATTGAGATGTTCATCCTTAATACCTTCATGTCTGCGGGGGAAATGTTGTTTTATGTTCTGGTGTTTGTACCTGTAATCTTTAAACTAAATAAAAATATTCCTAAAAAAAAAAAGAAACAAAGAGAGGTGGTCGGTATCATTTTGGTCAGTAAGAAACCTTCATGTGAACCTTGTTCCTGTACTCAGGGTGGGGGATTAAAATGATGCTCTCGTCTCTCCTGTAGAAGATGTATGTGGGTGTGTGTGCAGGACAAAGACTTCAGACACTGTAGCAGCACAACAGCAGCATGAAGGCAGAGGTCATGAACAAAACGATATCACTTCAAACCTGAAGCTGAAATTTACTACTAATATGACAATTAACTAACAACAAGTCAGACTCCAGGAACAGAGCTATTTCTAACCAGTCTGGTGGCACTGAAATAAGCAGCTCACCTCTCAGAGCAGGCGAAGGACGGCTGGTTAATTTAGCAATAAAAATTCTCATAGAGTCAGTTTCTTTGGTGTCAGAAGTCACACGGACAGAAGAGGTGAGTGATCCTTCATGAACAGTTCCATTTTCCCTACAAAGTGACAGCTCAAGAGTCACAACCACCTGAAAGATAATGCTGCAGGAAAATGAGGTGAAAAGACAAACACTGGGGCTACATCAGCTTTGTTTGATGTGTAACGGACACGACTTCATGTCTGACACAACACAGACTGCTTTGCTGTCTCAGGCCAAACACAGACGTTAACACAGAAAGTACCACAAACTCACTTTACCAACATGAGAAGAAAAGGCCTTAACATGTAAAGAGTCCAACCTCTGCCAGCCGGGAATGTTTGTGGACGTTCTCTCCTTTGTGGACGGCCGGAGCCAGCTGCTGAAGAACTCCTCGACTGCTGGTCAGCGCACGAGTCAGACGGGCAAATTTACCCCAACCTGCCACGGAGACACAACGACAGCATCAAGAGACTGAACTACCCGTGTGCTGAAACACTCACACAATGCATCTGGTTTGTCCAATGTAACTGTGATGTCCACATCAAACAAACAAACAAACAAACAAACAATAAAGAAATAAACTGAAACTCAGCAAATGTCAAGTTCATTCAGTATCAGTATAGTCCAAAATAATAATATAATGAATAATAGCGTTCTTATTCTTTTGCCATGTAACAGATTTAAACAGAGTCTTTACTAATTCTACACTTCCTGGATGCGGGCGCGGCCACATGAGTGTTTATGTAGCTCAAAAGGCTTTTTGTGATCATGTGACCTTGGCCCGCGCTCTGATTGGCAGCTGCAGACCCTGGGCCCTCCCACTTGTGACCAGCTGTTTGCTGCTTATGTTTATATCTTTTAGGACATATTTTTCCACTTATGTCTATCTATATATTTCTTGTACTGTTTATATTTCCAAGTCTTTGAATGGGAGCAGCTGAAATGCAGCAGTTTGCCTTCAGGAATCAAAGTATTTCTGACTACACAGATGATGATAAACCATGTAAGTTGGAAGTTAATTTGTTTTTTATAATTACTGACTCATCTGCCATTCAGTTTTTTTTAATTAATTGGTTGATTATTTTGTCTTGAAACAAAATGCAAGGAAACTAAAGAAAATTGCTTTTCCCCATAATGTGTTTAAACGCGATTCATCAATGCTCGTGATGACGTGTTCGTCCTAATCACTCACTGTTAAAGCTCTAATCATCGTTTCTTTTCCTTCTATGAACTGACCAGTGCTGCGTTCAGGAACACTGCCCACCTTTTGAAGAGTCATCCTCAATTGGCTGCTTGAAGGCGGTGATGTCACTGAAGGTGCAGAGGAACAGGACAACTTTGTCCTGCTCATTTCTGATTGGAGCAATCTTTACAAAAAACCAAACTGGCATCCCTGCAGCATAAAGAAAAGGAAATCAGTGACGTTACCAAGGCAATGAAACAGAAACACTCCAGGAACACTGACCATAGGTTGGACTGTGTTATTATGTAGTTGTTCTGGGTGTGACAGTGGCTTGATGATGTCAGCAGGACAGCTCCAAGAAGTGTCCAGATGTCCTGCTGGCACAGACCTTCAAGTACATGCTGTGATTTATACTAAAACTAATTTTTAAAGTTAGACTTTGCTTAAAGTCTTTTTGGAGTCTTTGTTCAGCTGATTAGTGATACTACATGTGGGGACGTGTGCCAAGCCCAAAACTGTTCTGGTTTGCTTCACTCTCAGCAGCAGACGGTTGTTTTCATGAGCTCCTTAGAGTCCAGGGTTCTGCACCATGAAGCCAGACCAACATACCAGGACATCTAACCCTAACAGCCCACTCAGGGTAACCGGTCCTACGACGGTGGTCATCAACTCAGTAGGTCAACCCAGGGTTGTCTGATCTGAGCGCGTGCACATAAAATGGGTGGAGTTTTTGGCCTCTGACCAATCAGGACTACGGACCAGTCTGGCTGCAGAGCGGCCCGCTTTACCGCCGAGGAGCAGAACATCATCTGGACCAGATATGAAGAACATAAAACCATGATAGGAGCTAAAAGAGAGCAGAGCAGGAAGGAATGGTGGCAGGAAGCTGCTGCCTGTGTGGACGATCAGCTCATTAGTTTAGAATAAAACCTGATCACTGCTCATCATGAAGGCTCGTATCAGACAAGCAGCACATCTCAGGACTCCTTTAGCTCCTGTGCTGCCTGATGGACAGACTTGTCAGACCAGCACTTTGCATGTATCACACGACTACTGGCAGGTCAGTGGTAGCACAGTGCTGTGAGTAAAAGGGCTTCACATCCCAATGAGCAAAGCATTATGGCCACACACAGATACAGTGTGTACTGTCTCCTAACAGTGGTGTGATGGATGTGGACAAACACTGGCAGGTATGAAGACCTGAGCCCCTCATAACGGCCAGATGACTGGGTCGGAGCATCGCACACATTTTGGGGAGGGGTCCTCCTGGTCCACATGTGAGTACACACTGACAGTGGTCCAAAAAAAAACTCGCCATGAACTGGAACATGTTGGAAAAAGTCTGATTCACAGCTGTGCTAAGTTCATGATTGAAAGGATCTACTGCTGCCATCCTGCTGCCTGATACCACAGGACCAGGGGTGGCATGGGGTGGCATCTGCCACCCCTAGAAGATGCCTTGCCACCCCGGCTGCCACCCCAGTTCTGAACGATGTAATTCAAAAATATGTGGCCGGTCGGAAAGAGCGAAAGTCCGCATATGACGAATAACGAGCGAAAGTCCGACGTCCGAGTGCTTGTGAACGCACCATGAGGACGTTCTACTACAGACACATAGGAGGCGACCCGACCTCCGATCAGGCTGCTCATAGTCCGCCTCCCTTATGTGGACCAGAGTCGGACTTCGGCGGCCAGCAAGACGTGAAAGTAAGACAGCAGTTAGACTGGGTTAGAGCACACGGTAGTAAAA